TACCCAATACTAATAAAAAAAGTTCTTGGAAGTTAAATTAGAACTTTTGACTAGTTTAAAGCTGAACGGTAGAGCTTTAAAACTGCAGGCTCAATTTAGCCTTTAGAGAGAGAAAGTTAGGGTAAAATTTTGATCTAAGTGAAATAAGACTGGAATGAGGTGGTGTAAAGTAGTAATTAGGTAGTTATGAACTTAAACGGATAAATGGAAATGAGTTTGCAAATGAATATAATAGTGAAAATCCATGGGTAACCTTTGTAAAGACAGAAGGGTTTACGTAACTGAATAACTTCCTTTGTTTTGACTGTTTATTATAATTGTATGTTAGTATACTATGTATACATGAAATGGTTTTGAATTGAGCATGTGTTGTGGTATTGAGTGATTGTGTGTGTAAAATGACTTTTGATCGAAATGAGCATTGAAATTTGTTTTGTAATGTAAAGATGTGTGTGGGTGTGTTGTTATGTATAAGAAAAAAAATTAAATTGTGAAAGGGAGCCTTAATGGTTTCGGAAAGTATGATTTAAGTAGTAGGAGTTCACCTGAGAGTATTGGGAGATAATAAGACCATATGGTAAGGTTTCCTTAGTACCCCTGTTAGGGTACAGTGTTGGAAAACAATTCACCTTAGTTCCTTGAAAGGTGCAGTGTTGGAGAAGATCTCCTGAGTGCCTATAAGGTACTTTGTTAGAGATGAGAGACTCCTTAGTATCTTTATGATATGGGTTGGAGTCAACAACATCCCATTGTGTGTGTTAGGGGAAAATTATAGTCTGTATTGTGCGTTAGAACATCTTTGGCTGGGTGATTCTACCACTGCAGGTGAGCTCAAGGCTAATGAGAGTGTACATTGGTTTGAGATGAGCCTATGGTTTCATGTCAGGGTGATTTGGAGGTTGGGTTGGTAGAGATCATGCTAGTATTTTATGTGATATGATGAAATATCATAAGATAATACAAAATCCTTTAGGATTGATGAAATATGAAAAATGAAATGTGATATGTGATGAAAATACTATTAATGAGGTTTATGGTATACTAATATTTACTTCATATTGTTGCATGTGATAGTTAATAGGAATAAGTTATTCTGTTATTAAAATTTTTATCTCACCCCCCGTAGTTATATGTTTACAAGATCAGAAAGTGATCAGGCTAAGGGAAGAGAGTCTAGACCGGCTTGAGTTGAGAAACCATGTACCCTGAGGTTGTGTAATGAACTGAACTAAAATTGTATATATAAGTATACATGAGTTGCCATAGGGTTGCATGCATGTAATGAACTGTCTTTTTTGTGAAATCAAGCCCGATTATGTGTATACGGGTTGTTTGAGACAAAGGAGCTTTGATTGTGTATGTTTTGCCATTCTTTTTAATGCTTCTTTATTTTAATTAGATTAAAGGAGAGAAAGGAAAATTTAATTTTAAAATATATATAAGATATATATATATTAAATAGAGAACATAAAGATTTAAGGAGAGAAATTTAAAAATATTTAAGTCTAAAAAAAAATTAAATTTCCAATATTTTGAATGGTTGGGATAATTTAGGAGAGATTTTAAAAGACTTAAACAAGATTTTTTTATTTTCTTAAAATTATTTTTTTAAATATAATCCTAAGAAAGGATTAAATTTCATTTTGTATTTTTATATTTCTTGGTTATTTATTATTAAATTTAAAAAAATGTCCAGACAAAATACGGTGTTCACATTGAGTGATTGTTCTGTGAAATGGCTTTTGGTTGAAATAAGTATGGAAATGTGTGTTTTGCAATGTAAAGTATTAATTTTATATATTATGTGTAAGAAAGTGTGAAATGGTAAATAGGAACCTTAAATGGCTCGAGAAAGCATGATTATAGGGGTGGGAGTTGACCTAAGTGTAGGAGCTGATAAAGACCCTATGGCAAGATTTTCTTCGTATGTTAGGGTGCGTGTTGGAAAAAATTCTCCTTAGTGCCCTGAAAGGTGTAGTGTTAAGAAGATTTCCTAAGTGCCTATTGAGGTACGGTGTTAAGATGAGAGATTCCGTAGTGTCTTTGCGATACGGTGTTAGAGTCAATGATGCCCCATCTGTGTATTAGGGAACCATAGTTCGTATATGCGTTAAACATCTTTGGTGCCAGGTGATTCTACCACTGCAAGTGAGCTCAGACTAATGAGAGTTACATTAGTCTAAGATGAGCCGATATAGTTTCGTGTTGGAGTGATTTGGAGGTTCGATTGGTAGAGATCACACTAGCATATTATGTGATATGATGAAATATGTTGAGATAACATAGAATCCTTTATGATTGAGAAAAATGAGAGCCCGAAAATGAGATATGTATATAAATGCTACTTTCTGAGGTTTTAATAATATACTGTTTACTTCCATATTGGCGCATGTGCTAGTAAATAGGAGTCTTATTCTGTTCTCGAGCTTTTTCTCTCACCCCTGTGGTTACATGTTTATAGGATTGGGAAGTGTCAGGGCGAGACAAGAGAGTTTGGAGTGACTTGAGTATAAAGCCATGTACTCTCTGAGTTGTGTGTAATGAACTAAACTAAGATTGTGTGTGTATATGTGTGTGGTGTGTGTAGTGAGTTTGCCATAAAGGTTGCATGTATGTATTGAATTGAGATTTTGTGATATCAAACCCGATTATGTGTATATGTGTTGTTTGAAACAAAAGGGCTATAATTTGAGTATTTGCATTAAAATGATTTTGTGTATTAGTGAATCTTAAGTCGGGGATAATTATGATGAAATGAGTAATTTAAGGGCTAAGATTTTATTATAAAAATGATTGTATATGTGTAGGTTCGCATGCAATGTTGCTATACATAAAGGATTTCGAGTATGTGAGGAAGAAATACCAAGGAACATGGCGATCTCAACCTATATAACGGATTCATCTTCACCAACACTACAACGACACTCACAGAAATGACTCCTGGAGCCATGGCCTCATCACTCTTATTCAAAAACTCAAATTCCATGAAGAAGGAAATCCTCAGCATTTGTTTCGGTTACCAGATGCTATGTTGTGCATTGGGAGGGAAGGGTAGGCGATCTCACATTGGTTGGGGACATCGGTGTGAGAAGCATAACCTTAACATCATTATCACCATTGTCTCCGACGTCTATCATGCTATTTAACTGAGGTTTTTGGTGTGAAATTAATACTCTCTACCAGGGTTTGGGTGGAGTTCATAAGTTGTATGCTTTCAATATGTCATATTGTATATTAACAAAACTTAGGGCATCCATTTTGTAATATGAGCATGTGATTCCATTTCTATTTAACTTGTGTGGCAGTCATGCAATTATCATCCTTGATATTCATGTTTGTAATTACATGAAGAAGGAATCTTTTTGATGTATGGAGACTATGATTGAGTATAGAGCTATTTTGTTAAAAAAATTTTTATAGTTTTATTGGGTAGCTATAATCCAACTAGTGGTTTAGCTCGTGTATTGGTGATGTTATGTTATGCCCAAGTCATTGGTTTGTATGTGAGTTGGTCAAGTGTTCCAATGTCTAGTAATGACTTTAGGGGTTGAGAAAATGAGAGTTGTTTGGGAGAAAGAGTGTTTTGTGACCATTATGCATTTTTATGGATAACTCTCATATGATTGAATTCTTGTGTCAAATCAAAGCTAGTGGCTATAATATGTGATAAGTTTCTTATGGACACTTAAATAACTCAATTTCAATGTGTGTAGGGAAGTTATGGTGTACTAAAGTTCAAAAGTATTGCTTATTTTGGTATTTTTGATGATACAATGCTGTGCGCTGTGGCATATATGTCATCGGTTGCGATGCTCGACATAGAAAGAGAATTGCCTCTCTGTATCATGCGTTTATGGTGGATAATGCATTTGCTGTGACGCATGGCCTTTGTGAAGGAAAACATTGCTCTATTTTAAATCGTTAACAGTAAGGACAATATTGCTCTATTTTTAATTGTTGAATGGGAATTTTGCATAAACAAAAAATTGTGATACCAAGCATTCCTTATGATAGATATTTGAAAAGTAAAAATACTTTATAAATTTATGAACTTGATGAAAGTTGATATTTTAGGACTTAATTGCTATATATATATATATAGATATATATTTTCTAATCTATTTATATTATGGATTATGGATATGGATCAATGTTTTCAAAACTTGATCGGACATTAAATTGAAAGGCTAATAGTTCATTGTTTATATGGTCTAATTGGATTAGATTAAGGTCGAATTGATAATGTCATAATTAAATAAAAATAATATTAAAATATATATATAAATAAATATAAGAAAAACATATAGGGATGTTAATAAAATGATATAATATGACTGTAAATTAATAATATTATAATTCTAATCTATAAGTAATCAAATATAAGTAGATCTTGGTCAAATTAAATATAAATAGATTCAAAAGTATTTGTATTTGTATATATAATTGTCAACTTTTTATAAAAATGATTTTAAATTATATTTATATATTTATAGTTATTTAAAAATAAAGTTGGCTTTTTAATCAGAATTATTTTTTCCATTTTTCCCATTTTTTTTTTTAAGTTTTTTTTCCTATTATATTTAACTCTGTCTTATTTTTTAAAAAACCGTTCCAGTTCCCCCTTTAACTCTAACTTTTAACTTAATAATAACTTAACTCTCATGTAATTGATTCAATCATAAAAACAGTTTTTTCCCCAGGACTCTGATTCTTAATAAGTGAAATGGATATGCGGGTTGACGAAAAGTCAAAAACCCGTAAATGCTTCGTCCGGTTGACACTGACGCCCGCGCGTCGCTTTAGTTAGTTCATCACATACAAGTTACTTCTTCGTTACGAGTCGATAATTGTAAGGATTAACACAATCTTGACGTTCATTTGTTCAGCCACTGAAATCCAACGGTCAAGGTTCCATGAAGCTACCTCCTTTTAAACTAGTTCATCTCTCACGCGGCGTCACGCAACAGAATATTCCTTCGTCTCGAGATAACTCTGATAACTGATTTCTTAGTCTCCGCAGATATCTGTGAATTCTCCATGCAAGAACCCGAGCTGCACGATTTGTGTCCGACGACGCGGACTACGCTGCGTCACTTCAACAAGTAAGATTGTTGTCTTTTAACAACTCAACTACGGTGCCAAATTCGACAGTATTATTATTATTTTTTTGTTGGGTTGTTGGTTTCTTTGCTCGAATTCCAGTCTATAAAGAGTTATATGATCGAGTTATACTGAAAAAATTTCTATTCTCTGTTGTATGTTTTGAATTCAACTAAGTCTTGGAATTTTGGGGGTTTTAATTTTGAATTAGGGGTCAGCAAGCATGATGCTAAGAAGCGACAGTGCTAAATCGAGCTCGTCTAGGGAGCCGGATGGTGCTGAGATGGTCTATACGAGGGACAACGTCGCAATTCATCCGTCTCATTTTTGCGTCCGAGAGGATAAGCGGAAGACTGAAGTTGATTAAGCAAAGCTCTTCTTTGTTTATGGTAATACTAATTCTGTACGCACAATTTTAAAGGGTACCGTTGTTATCTGTGGCCATTTCCGAGTAGTTGTCGATTCTATTTATTACAGACGTGGATACCATATATAGGTCACAGCTCAACTGCAAAGCTGTCGGAGAAAGGTGGGCTGACTTTTATACTATAGTTTCAGTCGGCTTATATATAATTTATCATAGACACATACCTTGAAGTTTGTTCTATTACTTGTGTAGACAAAATCTTACACCATAAGGGCGGTTCCAGTTTCTGACGTAAGATCCATCCGGAGGCATGCCCCGCCACTTGGGTGGCAATATATCATTATTGTTCTGTCTTCAGGTTAGCCTCACCATCAATCTAACAGACTTCGACGTGGGTTTTTTTTTTTTAATTGTATATTTTCTCTGCCTATGTTTATAGCCAATCCCAAACCTGGATAAAGGAGGAATGTTGTGTTAGACTATCAACAGTCAATGTAAAAGTTTGTTGAATCTATCTTGAACATGGACAATAGACATTATAATGTAATGTTAGGTCGTTGCCCATAAGTAACCCGTTGCATGGCTCAATTACAGTGATAAGTGAGCTAGAGCCGTTGCATCGGCGCTCGATGTAGTGTTAAATGAACAAGGCTACCGCGTTATTCTGGACGTGCGCAGCTAAAAGAGGTTAGTCCATGAGAACAAAATTAGATTTGATACTTGGATTGTTGGGACATTGAATTGTAAATCTGTAGAGGTTGTAGGGGTTATGATTCAAAAGAAAATCAATATCCTTTGCCTGCAAGAAACAAAATGGCATGGAGAAGAAGTCAAGGATATTCAAGATTTCAAACTTTGGTATACAGGAAAAGTAGGCGCACGCAAATGGAGTAGGCATTATTATGGATAAGGAGTGGAAGAAGAGCATTGTAGAAGTTAGCAAAATTGGAGACAGAATTGTTTCCTTAAAAATGATAATTAAACGTGAGACTGTTAATATTGTCAGCGTTTTATGTGCCTCAAGTCAGGACAGAAGCAGTCTTAAGAAATTATTTTGGGAGGATCTGGAGGGTTGATTCAACATATACCACAGAGTGAAAAGATTTTTATTGGAGGAAACTTTAATGCGCATGTCGGGAGGGAGGCTGATCACTATGCGTGGGTGCATGGTGGTTTTGGTTTTGGAGAGCTAAACAATGAAGACAAATCTTGTTGATTTCTCATTGGCGTATGATTTTAAAATTGCCAACACTTGTTTCAAGAAGAGAGATGAGCATCTTAGCACTTACAAAAGTGGAGCCTCAAGGTCAAGATTGATTTTCTTTTGGTTAGGAACACAGATAGAAGACTTTGTAACAATTGCAAGGTGATTCCCAGGGATGTTGTAACGATACAACATAGGGTCCTAGTCGCTGATGTGTGTATTATGAGTAAATTCAAAAACGTCGACAAGTAGTAGCACCAAGAATTAGGTGGTGGCAATTAAAAGGTGAGAAGCAAGATATTTTTAAGCGGAGTCTTTTGGACAAAGGAATTTGGGAATCTCAGGGAAGTGCTAACATCATGTGGGAGGATATGGTTAAAAAGATGCGGGGAGGTTGCAAAAATAGTTTTTGGCAGAATCAATAGGTTTTGGTCTGAGAGATAAGGAGTTTTGGTGGTGGAATAATAGTGTATAGGATAAAATCAAGCATAAGAAGAACTGTTTTAAAGCCATACATTTGTGTAACAATGAGGAAAATTGAATGAAAAAAATTGAGAGAGGTACCGTATTGTTAAGAAGGAAATTAAGAGAGTTGTGGGTGAAACTTGCTTTAAAGCTTTTGAAGAATTTTATAAGAGTCTGGAGATGAAGGAAGAGAACGAAACATTTATAGATTGTTGAGAGTTGGAAAGAAAATTAAGAGATCTAGAATAGGTAAGATGTATAAAGGAGAAGAGGGAAGAATTTTAGTTACAGATGATGAAATTAAAATAGATGGGAAACTTACTTTTTCAAACTTTTCAATGATGGAGAGGGTTCATCTAATACTCGGATGATTTAGTAACCGATGAAGGAGAACAAAATTTGTTATTCTATCGAGTAATACGTGATAAGGAGATAAAGGAAGCTCTTAAGAAAATGGCAAATGGTAGAGCCAACGGATCTGATTGTATATCTATTGAAGTATGAAAATGTTTAGGTGAAGAAGGGGTGAGATGGTTAATTAAATTATTTAATGTGATTTTATGGTCCCAAGAAAATGTTGAATGAGTGGAGGAGGAGTACATTAATTCCTATTTATAAAAATAAAAGGATATTCAGAATTATTTTAATTATAGAGGGATTAAACTCATGAGTCACACAATAAAATTATGGGAGAAAGTAATTGAGCATAGATTGAAATTGGAGACAAGTATTTCTGAGAATTAGTTTGGTTTTATGCCAGGTAAGATCCACTACAGAGGCGATTTATCTACTAAGGGAAAAGTATCATTGTAAATATAAAGATTTATACATGGTTTTTATTGATTTAAAAAAAGTTTATGACCATACCAAGAGAAGTGCTTTGGAAAGTCCTGAAAAAAGAGTATACGGATTGCTTATATTAAAGTCATACAGGATATGTATGAGGGGTTAAAACTATTATAGAACGCCTAGTGGTCAAACAAAGGATTTTTTTTATAAATATTGAATTATATCAGGGATCATCTTTGAGTCCTTATCTGTTTAACTGATGTTAAATGTTTTGACAGAACATATTCAAAGGGAAATTTTCAAATATATGCTCTTCGCGGATAATATAGTTCTTATAGCAGAGACAAGAGAAGAGGTTAATTGCAACTTTGAGTTAGGGAGGAGGACATTGAAGTCGAAAGGTTTCTGTCTGATTAGGAGTAAGACGGAATATTTTATTGTAAATTTGGTAAGAAACTTTTGATAGTAATTTGGAAGTGAAATTAGGAGATCAAATTATGCCTCAATGAAAAAGTTTAGATATTTGGGAGCCATTATTCAAAATGATGGCGAATCAATGAGGATATTTTACATAAAATTCAAGTTTGTGGTTTAATATGGGGAAAAGCTAAAGAAGTTATTTGTGACCATAAGGTGCCTAATAAACTTAAAGAAAAGTTTTATTGTACTGCTATCAGACCGGCCATGTTATATAGTAGTGAATGTTGGGCTCTAACGGGACAGCAAGAGCATAAAGTTGGAGTAGTAAATATGAGAATGTTACGATGGATATGTGGACATACATAAGATAAAAAAATTTGAAATGAGTACGCATGCGAAAAAGTGAGGGTAGCACCTATTGAGGAAAAAAGGTAGAAAATTGATTGAGATGGTTTAGGCATTACAAAGAAGAATATGGGAGGCACTAGTGAGAGAGTGGAACATATAATTTTGAGCTCGATTAAGAGGGGTAAAAGAGGGGTAGAAGACGGCCTAAGCGAACATTCGTGGAAGGTGTTGAAACGCGATCTCTTAATTAATAATATTCCTTAAAGCTTAATAAATGATAGAGCACAATGACGTCTTGCATTCATATAGCCGACCACACCTAGTGGGATAAAGGCTTTTTGTTGTTGTTGTTGTATATGTTTTCTACCTTGTAAGAGTTTCTATTCCTCGGTCAAGTCTCTTCAATAGGATGGCACTCATCATTTGTGTTATGTTGTATAAAATAAAATTCATCGACAATGTGTAGTTTGTTACCTACATGATAATCCACTCATAACTACATGCACAGAAAGTTTAAGGCGATGACTGTCAATGAATTTTTGTTACAGTGGGCGATTCAATTCCGTTGGCACTTCATTAAAATAACCGATGTGGCAGCA